ATTTAAAAATGTAAAAATTATTGCATTTATTTTTAAATGTGCAATTACAGTTTTTTTTCCAACCAGTTTAAATGTGATACTGAAAATGCAATGTATTACTAAAGTACTAAATGTAGTACTTTAAAACTACACTTACAGCAGTTATATGACTTTCTATGAATCTCCAGCACTTCCTCTTAAAGACAGACAACTTAAAGCGGTTCGCCCACTGCAAGTATAAAAAGCAAACTCCAAACCCCCTCTCTTCCTCCATCTTTCAAGAGGCCCAACAGCGAAAGACCTTTCAGGAATCCTGCATGGGTGGACGAGTGGGTTTTCCCTGGGAAAGACACTCAGGGTCTTCCGGAAAGGAACCCCACCTTCGGATGTCGGATAGCACGCTGCTATGGTGCGCTGGTGCCAAGGCTAGCATGCGTGAGTGGGCAGCGCTGCGCTGAGACGACTAGCAGCCGTGGGCACTGCCAGGCTTAACGATGAAGATGCCGCCCCTGTCATCATTACAGGCAGCTAACAGAAAAGAACAGAGAGCTTCACTGAAATAAGCCAAAAAAAAGCAGGAAGTAGGGAGGTTCACATTGAAATCCTCTCTCGACGCCCCCACGCATGGTCTTAAGCACAGCGTACAAAATCACTCTCACAGAGAGAGCGAGAGAAAAAGAGATATTAGCGGCGCAGTAAGCTAGCTCAGGAGATCACATCCAGGCGCTTTCTAATCACTGTAATGGTTTAGAAACCTCATGCTCATATCTCTTTAAGCACCGAATAAAACAGTAGAAGTTCCTATATGAACCACAGGCGCAGCTTTCCTATGCCAAAGAGACTTTCGACAGCTGCGGGGGGCGACAGCCTAAAAAGTTAATGTGATTTCTGAGGAATAAGTCACATCCTAAAATACCACCCGATAAGAGCTCGGGGAAATGGGATGGAGTTGAGAAGGTCTGAAAATTCCTAGTATGCGAAATACTTCTCGATCAGCAAATAACGTGCGCCAGATCTCACGTTCATCCAGAATACAAGATTATGCAGACGTTTAAATAAACATCTACACTCTAAATATCTGTAAGAACATGCAGAATGTTGGAGATCACCGGCTGCTCTATGCCAAACACAGCCTCACAGATGCTCTTAAAGCAAGAATGCGTGATAAATCAATGACCTTATAATTAATATTAGTAAATATTGGAATAGCATTGGGGATTATTTCCAACTCAAATATATATACCAGGTAACAGACACTTGACTGGCATTGATGGTTCCATGAAGAATCTTTACCATCCATGGAACCTTTCCACTGCACGAAAAGTTCTTTATAATAGAAAATGTTTCCAGTGGCTGCCCACTGCTCCGGGTTTGTGTTCACAGTGTGTGTGTGTGTGTGTGTTCACTGCTGTGTGTGTGCACTTGGATGGGTTAAACGCAGAGCACTAATTCCGAGTATGGGACACCATACTTGGCCACACGTCACTTCACTGTATAAATATATAATATTAGCCAGAACATTGGTAATCTCTCAAAACTTAAAAAAACTAATTTTTATATCAGTTCATATGGATCTTAAAAAGTACCAAGATCTCAAATCATACCATATTATGTATAGACCTTAATCTGGTCAGACACCATATTGAACTTAATATGCATGAAAATGAGGCTCTGGGGGACAGACTTATTAGTCTTTAAAAATGGAAAGCACCATATAAAGGTCCTACTATACTGTACATGACATAATTTTTATCAACATTCAAAACTGTTTTGTGCAGTTTGTCTACTGATTTTTCTTCTTTTTTTTTTTTTTTTGGAAAGACGTTTTGTCAGCTGAACATTCAGTATGTTGTTAAACAACAATAGAATCCACTGAACCGCACTGTACTTCTATCCCTCACAGCCTTGTTTTCATAGATAAGAAATCATTTTGATGATGTACATGAATCGAGGATATTTGTGGGTCTGGAAAATGACACAAGCGTTACAACACAAGTGCTGGTACACAGAATGCTGCCAATAGTCTGTTCTCCAAACTGAGAACATGTGGTATCATTACAAGAGAAACCAAAGAATATTCCGTACATAACAAATCCCATTTATAAAAGACCGTTTATGAAATCCAATTGAACTTTCTTTTTTGTATGAGTGAGAGTAAATACATTTAAAAAGTACATTGGTGTTCAAGTTATTCTATCAAGATTACTTCACCTTTTAAAGGGGACATTTTTGCTCTAGTATTAATGCCTGTTAAACTAGGCTAGTCCTAATAAGGTCTGGTTTAAAGGGACAGTTCACCCAAAAATGTACTATTCTGTCATCATTACTCACTCTCATGTCGTTCATCTTTGAAACACAAAATAATGGTTTAATGAAACTTTAATGAAACTCCAATCCACCAAAACTTCAATGCTTCAAAAAGTTAATAAAGATATTGCAAACAAAATGAAACATGCGGTTTAATCCAAGTCTTCTGAAGAGATGACTGTTTTTCTTTTACAATCTCACTCTCTGAAGCATCAATGATTCGATTTATTTGACATTCAATAGAGGGCCAAAAGACACTTAGGTTTTATTAATAATATCTTCATTTGTGTTTGAAAGACTAGCATAAGTCTTGCGGGTTTGAAATGAGATGAGGTTGAGTAAATAATGACAGAAATTTCATCCCTTTAACAAAGCCAGCATCTAATGGTATTTTACTACCTGACTTAAGCCTGCATTTTTAATATCACAAAAAACAGGTATGCTAGATCATTATAAAACGTGTTGCCAATTTGAAGAAAAAAAAGATGTGCTAAAACAGTCCAAGTTCATCAACCATTACTGTAAACAAACTATTTTTGACACAGCATCCAAAAGTGCCAGACAAACATGTAATTATCTCCGTAATGGCCTGAGATTAAAATAATTTGAATTACAAGAGCTTTAGACAGTGCTCAAATGACTGTCAACAATATTCTTGACAACGCCAGAGCTAGATCTAAATTTCTTAGTATGCAATGGCAGAGTGAAGAAGTAAACAACAGTGCGTGCGACAGACTCTAATACATTTGCACCCTCAACGCCACAACAAACGATGAGATTTCAAAGGCCGTTATCCCTACCATATGCAAATGATAAAACATTCACTTAAACACATTACTTTGATGAAAGCGTTATGACTTTTGGAGACATTTGGACGGCAGTAGCACTAAAGCATTATGGTTGCTCGAGTGAAAATGAAGTTCAAGTCAAGCTGAGGGTTGAGTCATTACTTTGAGGGCTGACGGAGGGAAATCTGTTGTTTAGCATGACCCTTTGCTTTTGTTTTGGGTAATGAAAGCCCATTGAGAGGCGGACGTGCTGGACTGCTGCCCATTTCACTCTGTTTCAATTACCCAGCATGCCTCCAGCAGGGTAATGAGGTGGGTGTCACCGCGGGGGTAAAGCGACAACCAGTGACCGCTGCGTCGCCACTTGGCCTCTCATTTCCGTGGTGATGAAGTGTCGATTGGCAGGGTCAAGGGGGCGGGGGAGAGAGACTGACCGCAGAACGAAGACTGACACGTACGCTCTCCGAAAAGCCTGCACAAATTCGCAGCACAGACCTCCAGCTACCATATGTTTTTATCAGAGTCAGAGCCACAAAAGGGGGAATTACATTTGAAAGGCCGGTAAATAAAGTTGGTATTGATTTGATCTCATGTGTAATCCGTTTTGCTGTCTGACACCAAGTAAAGCAATAAAAGAGAATCATGTAGGACAGCATAATAGATAATACGACCATACATCAATTGGGGTTTGGGAGACATGAGGGCGATAGATCATCTTCCAGCCAGACTGCTTAGCTATGGAATTTATAAACTAGCTCCTAAAATTGAAGTGGCTTTCCAATTTACAGATACGGCATGGTACTTTGCTGCTTTTCTCCACTACAGTTGATTCTATTTCAATTTTGGCAGAATGATTGGCACATCATCGCTGCTCTAAACTCAAATACACCAATCTAGCGAGACGGACAAAGTTTGCCTGATATAACAGCTGTCCAACGGCTCTTCAGTCATATTGATGGCCTCTTTGTCTCTTACTTTATCTAAAACGGTTGCCTTGAAAAGACAACTTGGAGTATATTTACATTGTAAAAGGAGGGATTTTAAAACCTTTTTATTTGATTAAACAATATGAATTCATTTGAAAACAATTATTATAATTAGTTTTTAATAGAACGTGTTTGCCTAAAAACAAAGTTTTAAGATAAAGATACATACCATCATCATCATCATCATTCTTCTTATTATTATTACTATTACATTAGTTTGATTAAATATAATTGATTTCAATATATTGATTTCAAAAGAAAGCTATTTTAACGTTGTGGAGAAGGATATTGGGACAAACCAAAAAAGTTCCAAATGCAAATATTACCATCCATTGTAATTATGCTGATGCAAATATACATAACAAATATAGTTTCTTAATATGATCAGGAATGTGGAAAATGGATTCATATAGACTGCATACACATACTGATTTTGAGTTAATAAAAACTAATAATCATGAGTTATGGTTCAAAATGTTGTATATATAT